GATTTATTTGGGCATTTCGCCGCTATTTATATTTTTTATGAATTAACCCAAGGAGTTTTTATCCATAATGACTGAACGATAGTTATCTGGAGGTTCGGAAAGGGGGAATTAAGGCAGTTCTTCGCCTTTTCTTCTCGCGAATGCACTTCACATCTGAGTTAGTGCACTTTTTCGCTGCTGTCACTCTCCCGGGAGTTATCCTGGAGTCACCGTGAACAAATCTAAAGAGAGAATAGCCCATGGCGCTCCATGCAGACGAGTGGGCTATATTCATCCACATGGTCTTCCAGCTGCACTGGTGAATCCAATGACTCCACGAAGCGCCTTAGCCAGGGAGCGTGAGTGTTTCACCTCAACCTCTGTGATTAGCAGCCTGCACTCAACGAGATCAGGGAGATCTCACCGGGAAGCTCGGTGTATTGGCTCTGAACCGCGGTGGATCGTCGTCCCTCTCAGGATCCGCGAGATTTCAATAAGAAAAATATAACTGGGAAAATACAATTTACTGTAAATTTTCGCTCAACCGTAAAACCGAAAATTAACCCCCTACAATCCGAAATAAACCAGAAAGATAACTGAAACTAAAAGAGAACAAAAAAACTTTAATATTGCTTGAACCGGAGATTTTAGTTTTTACTCGTTTTTAATGTGTATTGTGACAAGGCATATACATTTATTTTTTATTATTTTTCTACATATTTTTTCCCACTACACACTGCCCCCTAAAAGGTAAATCCCGCCACCATTGGATACCCCTTCCCCAGACTTTTCCCCTCATCGCCCCTCTACCCCCGCCTCGGGACATCACGAAGACATCAGCCGAAGGAAGACATCAGTTCCGGCCCCACCCGATCAATTGGAGAAGCCATCGCCTCCTGGAAATTCCCCATACTGGACCCCCGAATATTCAACACCTGCAATAATCCCTTGCGAGACATCCCTGGATTGTGGTTATCATCACCACTCACCCGTGCTGATTGGCCCCGATTGCTCACGAATTAAAACCCGAAGGACTTCGACACCTGACGAACCCCCACGAATCGCGGAGGAAAAGGAAAGACCGTCACTCGTGTAACCGCTGTCCTGGACACTGCCACATGCGCCCCAATTCAAGTGAATATAAAGTGAACATACCCCGAAGTCGGTACATTGGATTTTGTTCGAGTAAAGAGGATTTTTAGTGCCCGAGCTCATCCCGGCTCTAAGTACTGTGCCCCTGGAGTCTGGAAGGAGGAACGAAGGCTCAATCGCTGGAGTCGCTGAAGGACCCGGATTAGACCTTAACTGGAAGTCGTGAGTACGAGTTGTCCCCCTCATTTCCCCCTCGCCTCAAGAAGTATTCCTTTTCATACCCGCCAACGGTGAGCCTACACTCTTTTGTTTCTACCCCATTCAGTCATTATTTTCATATTTAGTTGCATTCCCTCGACACGACTAGCTTCTCCCTTTTTTTCTGCATTAGAGTCACTCCCGTTGCACGTGTACAAAAGTTGTCTGGCCTCCCCCACTCCCTAGATCTCAGTAAAGGCCTTATTTACGTCCTTTGACGATCGGAATTGTATTTAGAAAAGAATATAGGTAATTATTCTCAAATTATCCCTTATTTGTCCCTTTTCTTGACTCGCCCTAATCCTCTTTTCAGGAATTAGTCTAACAGAATCTAGAAAATGGTCACAGTATCGACACGTGAATTTAATTATTTATTGAAATTGAACGTTGTTTTCCCCGCGAGGCCCTTCCTGATATTCTTGGAGACCGGTTTCTGCGAGCTGGAGCTAAAAGGGGTGTTGCATCGCCCTTCGGTAGGGGTACTAACTTTTTGGGGTTAAGGAAATCGCGACTCTCTCTCGGAAAAGATCAAAATAATTTCACATTTACCTACTCACTCTTACGGTTTACTTAATTCTACGACGAAGTTTTGTACAGGTGGCGAAATTCTCGAAAATTCCGTCACATATTATATAACGTCATTTTTCAGTTATTGTTTAGTAAGAATTTTATTTTATATAACATTATTTTTCAGTAATTTAAGAACTCTATTAAGTTAAGAAGGTCTGAAATTATGTCTATTTCGGTGATTTCTGGCTCCGTTTCTATTATTATTGTTGTTGATGTTATCACTATAGATTTGTTCCCGAATTTTGAGTTCTCTTATATATTTGTCATTATCGGTTAGCAACCAGTATTCTTTTTTTACTCTGTAAAAATCATTTTTATCGACTTCTGATATTTCTCTGGAATATTTGAACGTTGCATTCTCAAAATTATCAATGAGAATAATTTTGTTATTTTTATGCCTCTTGATGTAATAGAGTATTGGTCTTTTCCAATCATCTTGGAATAAGCCAATTTTATCATACTGAACAAAATATTGCGGTTTAAGGCGCCACGAGTGTATATATATATAGATATACAAAAGCGGGTAAAACTTTGAGCCATTCCCACGGGCTAATTAGTGGAATAAATGAGATGAAACTTACGTCCAAAAATTTGTTTTTCTTGTCGGCCCCGTGTGAAATCGAATCGGGCACTCCCCGATGTCAGGAATTGTGAGGGAAATAATTTTTTATTTTGGGCAATTTGACAGTTTTCGCATAGCCATATTGTGTGACACATGCAGATAACTTCTGAGATCACGGCGGTCGATAATCCCATGGAGATTAAATTATCAGTTTATTTTGTTAGGGTCTTCAGTAATTTTCTTTTTGAATGAATGTCACAGCAGTCGATAAAATTAATCTCCATGGGATTATCGACCACTGTGATCTCGGAAGTTGTCTGCATGTGTCACACAATATGGCTATCGAAAACTGTCAAATTTCCCAAAGTAAGAAATTATTTCCCTCACAATTCCTGACATCGGGGAGTGCCCGATTCGATTTCACACGGGGCCGACAAGAAAAACAAATTTTTGGACATAAGGTTCATCTCATTTATCCCATTAATTTCTTATTCATACATAAACAATCAGTATTTACATTATTTACATTCCTTAAAAACTAGTATTTAAAAAAGTCTATGAACTATTATTGATAATTTTTATGTCGCGCCGTGCAATAAGTCGAGTTTATCGCATGCTGCGTTTCGCGCAGCCTGCTCACGAAACGAAATTTGTGCCCTTGTACTCTAATGTACTATTTTACTAAACTTTACCGAAGCGCCACTACCGGAAGAGATGAGAAGGCGCGTGCATAGCACGTAGTGTTGAAAAAATTATAAATTTACCACATTTTTATGACAAAATTGTATGGGAAAATTATGATACTTGCATCAAAAAATCAAACTAAGACACAATTCTTCAAATATTATAACACGACCATTGAATTTTATTCTAAGGATTGCAAAAATCAAGGAAAGTTTAACGAATTCATTACACAGTATGATAAAATTAATTCTCAATTATCATTTTATCATACTCGTACAATAGTTTCGTGATTCGCGATAGGAATTTCATCTAAGCGTACCTTAGAATTAATACTCCATATTGTACCTTTATGATACCCAATGATAAGTTCTTTCTTGTTGGCCTAATTTCAGATAATGTTGTAATATCTGGGTACTGAATTCGTAAAATTTTTGCAATTCGCATAAATCTATAACGGAGGTTGTTCGATTTCAAGGAAAGAAGTAGGATTGAAAAATCACTCTCTACGCAGCTTGACACATTTCAGTGTCAGCCCATCAAATTCTCGAACCTAAAGTTCGTAAAACTGTTTTTACATTACGTGGCGACCACATGGCGGATGAATACAATACTCTGAACAAAACATAGAACAATGGACAGAGGGAAAATGCGTATCAAATAGTCCAGTGTACTGGTCCTTATTGTTTTGGAGTTAGTCTCCGACTAACGAAGTTAGAGTAAAAATCGAGATGCGTCTTCTACGTGCGATTAAATAAAGAGTCACAATTAAATTAAATTCATAGAGTTATTATTTCAATTCTACCTATAATTTCCAATGGAGGTATAGTACGATTAGAATCCGATATGAGAATTATCAATTATAATTAATTATAAACAATTGGAATTATTCCGTTTAAATATTCGATGGGCCCGTGTTTCTTCCATCTTTTATGAGAAGTCATAAATCGACAACATCCATTGAACAATAATTTAGAGTCTCTGAAGAATAATAGTAGAATTATCCCAAAGGCCATTTTGATATGAAATCATTCAACAATTAGAATGAGAAACTGTCATTAATTCATAAAAAATCGTGGTTGATCGAGAACATGAGGTTATAATACATATAGACGATGCGAACCATCATCAATACGAATTGCGTGATAGCTCCGTGGTAACGCGTTAGGTTGCGAGTCCGTAGGTCCTAGGTTCAAACCCCTCTGCGATAAAAGAATTTAATTTCTGTTCATTGGCTTGACAGGTAGGATTCCGAGAGTAGTAAACAATAAACATAAATTGTATTTGATGAGAAGAATGCTCAACTGAAAAAGTAATATTTTTGCATCTTATCTCAGAGCAATGGTACCCCACATATATAGGGTAATTATAATACGGTATCAGAAAATTATAATATCAAGATATAATTTGACAGGACATATAAAAAAAATTCCTATACTGGTATGTGAATTTTCTCAGATGGTATGAGACCCAAAAGTATGATAAATTTATAATACCGTATGATGTAAATTACTTCCTACACATGTGTAATAATTTTGGGTCGGAAATTTTTAACGCGTGACCGATCTCGTAAAATAGAATGCGAATAAAATAATCAAATAGAATATCAATTTTGATCACATGATTTTTTTTTCAATGATCTTTCTTCCGGATTCTTTCCCTTAAAATTTTTTCCTCGAAGTCTTTTTTTTCCACATTTTTTCCCCACAATAAAGAGGAAATAACCCTAGGATGAAATGTCCTAGAATGAAAAGGGCGAGGGATGAAATGTCCCGGGATGAAAAAATTCGAGGATGAACTGTCCTACTAACCTTTCATATTGTTTCATAACGTTATCAACTGCACTGTTGAATTTCAGAACAAACGCAAAGTGGTATGACGCTTCGATAAAGACCCAGAAATTGATCCCTCTGATGCTCTTGAGAGCTCAAAACCCGGTGGTTCTGACTGCTGGAAAGGTGATTGTTATGGGCATGGATACCTATGCTGTGGTAAGATCACGAATAATCTTTTCCTCACCATTGGTTTCTAATGTATAATTTCCTTGTAATGTTATCACAGGTGCTGAAAACAGCGGCATCTTATTTCACAGTTTTCTTGGCTATGCAATAGAATTGCCCCGTTATCGTTGTCCTTTTTCTTCAACTCCGTTGTGTTGTATGAAATAGGAAAAGTCAGTTTAATAGTTGTCCATTAGATGAACTAGCAAGTTGCAATGTCTTCAATTTTTCTTCCACCTCGAATGGCTACCGGTGATTATTTAGATGAAAATCGCAAATGTCTTGTTTTCTTAACTCAATAGAACACTGAGCCATTAAGAAGAAAATCTTACTTTATGTGTAATATGTGAGATGCCCGTTCCTTTGGACAAAGATAGAATAGGGTAGCTGGTGTCCGAGTCGAAATTTTACCGGGTTTCCCAACGTGGTTTCAAGGTCCACTGGTGGGTTTAGGACGTTGAAAGTACGTTGTCCAGTTTCCAGGCTCAAATGCACCGATTCAACCTACTTTTGACGTAAATACCGTCTCTTTTTTCCATTTTTTCCAGATTGTACGTTGAAATTAGGTTGAAACTAAACGTATCCCCAACGTTCCTCCGTACATTCTTTCCTTTCTTTCTCCCCTCTGCACTCTTCACGCTACCAGTTCTGTTCTAACATTGATTGATTGACTAATCTTGCATAAATTAATCGGCGGAAGAATGGCAAAAATATAAATATTATTAACTCGGTGAAACAAAAATGCGAAAAAAAGAAAAAAATGGATCGGTCCATTGGTTCTCGCAATATCCCTACTTGTAGTTCTGCCGTGTTCCCTTTCGGTCACCCATCCTTTTTCTGGTTTTACTCGCTACTGCTCAAGGTCAGTGATCGCAGGATATCCCGGTATGCTTCTGAGCTGTACAATTGCTTGTGGCGAGTTGTATTTTTTTCTGGTTTATATAAGCAACTAATATGAAAAATAAGAAAAAACAGAAAGAAAGTAGGCAATAGAGTAATACAGGAAATTAAGAGGGAAGGAGCAGGGGGAGAAGATGAGAGGGAATTAGAGTCCATATAGATCTAAGGCGTCTAAGGGTCGGACCGTTCATAGTCCGTGAGGGTAAAGATCCGATAAGTGTAAGAGTTAGTTGAGTCTGAAGGATCACGTGAATCTAAGGGTCAAAAAAGTACGAAGGGTCAGGCGAATGTAAGGGTCAGTTCAGTAAGGGTCAGATAAGTAAAAGGCTCAGTTGAGTTTAAGGATTATTTGTGTTCGAGTGTCAGTTGAGTTTAAGGGTCAAATGAACCTAAGGGGCAGATGAGTATGAGGGCCAGATGGGTTTTTTTTATCAATAAGTGTAAAACCTTCAGCATAGGGCTAGATGGATATAAGGATCAGCCGAGTTGGAAGAATCACACGAATCTGAGGCTCAAAAGGGTACGAAGAGTCAGGTAAATATAAGGGTCAGTTGAGTATGGGTCAGATAAGAAGAATTCTGAGTTGAATTTAAAGGTTAGATGTGTCTCAGTGATAGTTGAGTTTAAGGGTCAGATGGGTCTAAGGATTAGTTGAGTCCGAAGGATCATGCGAAATTGAGGGTCTATTGAGTAAGGGCCAGATACGCAAAAGCTTCAGTTGAGTTTAAGGGTCAGATGGGTCTAAGGATTAGTTGAGTCCGAAGGATCATGCGAAATTGAGGGTCTATTGAGTAAGGGCCAGATACGCAAAAGCTTCAGTTGAGTTTAAGGGTCAGATGGGTCTAAGGATTAGTTGAGTCCGAAGGATCATGCGAAATTGAGGGTCTATTGAGTAAGGGCCAGATACGCAAAAGCTTCAGTTGAGTTTAAGGGTCAGATGGGTCTAAGGATTAGTTGAGTCCGAAGGATCATGCGAAATTGAGGGTCTATTGAGTAAGGGCCAGATACGCAAAAGCTTCAGTTGAGTTTAAGGGTCAGATGGGTCTAAGGATTAGTTGAGTCCGAAGGATCATGCGAAATTGAGGGTCTATTGAGTAAGGGCCAGATACGCAAAAGCTTCAGTTGAGTTTAAGGGTCAGATGGGTCTAAGGGTTATTTGAGTCCGAAGGATCAGGCGAGTCTAAGAGTCAGTTGAGTCTAAGGATCAAACAACTACAAAGGGTCAGACGGATTTAAGGGTCAGTTGAGTGTGAAGGATCACGCGAATCTACGGTCAGTTGAGCCTAAGGGTCAGGCAAATCTAAAGGTCAGATGAGTAAAAGGCTGAGTTGAGTTTAAGGGTCAGTTCAATCTAAAAGTCCGTTGACCTTTGGCTCACCTGACCCTCAGAATCGATCTAACCCTCAGACTCATTTGACCCTTATTCTCGTCTTAGACTCATCTGACTCTCAGGCCCAATAGGGCCTTCGCACTCATCTGACCCATACACTCAACTGACCCTTAAATTCAACTGACAGTTGAACTCAACTGAGGTTTTTAATTATCTGACCCTTAGATTCGCGTAATCTTTTAGACTCAACTCACCCTTATACTCATCTGACCCTTATACTCAATTGATCCTTATACTCAACTAACCCTTCTGACTCTTGGACCCAACTCACCCTTCAGACGCACGATTATTTAAACTTCGAACTAATATTATTAATGTACTAACATTAATAATTTAGTTACGTGAGTCTTTAACACGGTAATGAATTTTTTAATTATCGTCAATAATGACCTTGATACAATCAAATATGGACGTCGAAATTTACAACGTACGTTAACAGAAAACAAACGCCTTTAACGTTGAGAGTACGTTTAATATACGGTGGATATTGAGTGTTTTTCAACGTCCATAGGCCTTCACGTTGAGATAAGTTGAAAGTACGGTAAAAATTCGGCGGAGAATTTGAACATCAAAGCAATGTAGGTTCAAAACGTTGAAACTACGTCGGGAGACCCAGTAAAATTTTGACTCGGGTGCATGTACCACCCATCTAAAGGAAATGAGTTTTTTCCCAGCCTCGACTCTCTACAAGGAGTCATAAACGGTTAAAATGGCTTCTTCAAGGTGTTTACTTAAAGATGTGAGGGAACAGATTTTTTATTAACATTAAATACGAGGAGGCGCCGCCCCCGGCTCGCTCCACTCGTAAAAACGGGTTGGGGGGGGGGGGGTCGCNCTCTTCACCCCCCAACCGTGTGACCGAGCGGATGTGACCGTGAGGGTTTTTTCCACAACTCCCTTCACCGAACTTTACTGTAGAATATCCCCTCCGTGGAGTGAAGTTGTCATTCATAGAGATATTTTTCTTTACATTTGAATATGAAAATACAAATTCATCGTTTTAATTGCCTTGAATTCAAGAGAAGAAGTCCCAAAAGTAGTCACCATTTTTTCTGTTATATATGAGGATATTGAGGGGAATATTTTTAAAAGTTGTAGCTGAGTGCGTCCTAAATGGAATCGAATTTCAGATGAAAAAAAAACAACTTCGAAAATTTTTTGAGGCAATATTTCATATACAGATTTGAAATCTGTATATGAGCAGCCCTCTAATGACACCCCCCCCCCCCCCCTA